CCATTTGGACCGTTCGCGTCCTCGTGGGACTTTATTTAGCCGACATATTAATTAAAAACTACATTTTCCACTTTCTTTCTTGGGTTTTCCTTATTAGAGGGATTTGGCTATGTGCCAAATTCTTTTTTCTCGAATATCTACGGAACGGCTCCGAGTTGAAATTCGAGTCGCGTATCCTCGGATTCCAAAAAATTCACCGAATCCATCGATACTGTTCTCATCTTCGTACAACTTAATTGGCCAAGATAATAATTAAAACTGCGGAAACGTTGATTTCCGCCCTCATTTTTCCGAGTAGCAGCAATAAACTATCGGCGACAAACACTTAAGCCGCTTATATATATAAAACTAGAAAGCCTGGCGGTCATACGAAATGACCGTTGTTCTAGATATTATAAATTGTAATTAAAATTATTTTTGCAAAGATGTCTGCTAAACTGAATTACCCAGGGCAGACGGCGAAGACGCCCCTTTGTTTACTGCCCCACGGGGTTTCCCCCTTCTACTTGCTTAATTGCTTAAAGTAGAGTGCAATGAAGGAAACCACTGGCTGTACATTTCTTAAGAGTCACTGCTAGCTCAATAAAAAAATGTTATTTAAATAATAAAACGTTAATTCACATGTCAAAGATCTCTTTGTACACAAAATTTGTTGTGCAGGTCTTTCCATCCTTTTTAAGCTCGCCTTGCAGAGGACCATCAATATTTTTAAATTTTACGTCCGTTCGTTCACGAACTCTTGAACAGGCAACATAAAATTGACCGTGTCCAAATGCAGGCTCAGGTAAAAAAAGGCCAACACGCTTAAGCATTTGGCCCTGAGACTTACCTAGCAAAGGCAAGTTTTACAGGAAATTGTCTACGTCTCAATTGAAACAGCAACCCTGTGCCGTGGCAATTTCATCCCATTGGATAGTACAGTTACGCAAGCTACCAATAAACTATCGACGACAAACAGACACTTAAGCCGCATATATGTATGGAGTGAAATAACATCATCTCCTCCGAAACGGCTGGCTCCCGGCCTTAGCGAAGCACACCGTTGGATTCCGCAAGTCCGTGGCACGCCATTTTGACCATTCGCGTCTTCTTGGGACTTTAATTAGCCGGGATATTAATTAAAAACTATTTTCCCCGTACGTTTTCCCTACATTTTCCACGTTCTTTCTTGGGTATTCCCTATTAGACGAATTTGGCTACGTGCCAAATTCCTTTTTCTCGAATATCTACGGAATGGCGCCGAGTTGAAATTCGAGATGGATATCCTCGGATTCCAAAAAATTCTTCAAATCTATCGATATCATTCTCATCTTCGTACAACGTTAATCGGCCGAGATATTAATTAAAAACTGCGGAAACGTTAATTTCTGCCTTCATTTTTCCGAGTGGCAACAATAAACTATCGGCGACACACACTTTAGCCGCTTAAATATATAAAAGAAGATGATGTTATATAATTATATCCTATAAAACTTATTTTATATAAAAGAAGATGATGTTAAGTAATTATATCTTATAAAACTTATTTTAAAGGATTTGAAATCCAGTAATATTTTAATTCTTTTATGTCGGTATGATGTTTTTAATGAGGTATTCAATTTAAGTAATCTTTTAAAAGTTGATATGATGTTTTTAATTTGATATTCAATTTAAGTAATATTTTAATCCAATTAAACTTTGTCGCAATGTTTTTATAGCGGTGTTTTCATTCTATTTCTCTGCTATATGAAAATAATAATTACCTTACTTTAGTATTTTATACTCACAGTAAATGTATTTATTTACATTTACCTGCCATCTTAAAAAACAACAATAAATTAATCCATTACTTTTAACGATATTAATTTTTTTAAAGTTTCGAATACTTTACTATGCGTAAAATACGTAAAAACAGTTTTTTTTTTTTTTTTTTAAAGATGGCTGACGATTGTAAAAACCGCGCCAACGTAAATCGCCAAAATTCAGTGCAACCGCCTACCAAAGTATTACCTTTGAATCTTTTTCTGTGTTTGGCAAACCCCAAAGACGGATTTTCGTAGCACTGAAAAATGGAGTCAAAAATGGTTTTGCAAACAAGGGGGAAAAAAAAAAAAATCCAAAATATAACTGCGTGCGAAGAACAGGATTGCTCTCTCTTTATTGGCGCATCAGCGCAATTTCTGCTGCGGTGGCGTTAATACCTAAGTACCAAAATTCCGCAATACTTAGCTTGATTATCAAACTGCGAATAACGGGCATTTTCCTGTAATTTAAACTGAAACGTGTAAACTTAATATTTGCCGCACATTCAGACAAAATGTTAAATCTTTTTATGTATATTTTGAAGGTCAGCTTCTTACTTTTGAGGTAATCAGTCGTGGGGCAACTTTATAACCACGGGATATGCTTAATAAAATTTTTCGTCTGGAGTAATCCTTTTAGCATTTTACAATTTTGGGTGAGAAGCATTTACACGCTTCATAATTCGAATTGATTCTTTACGATTATTTATGATTATATGATGAAAATGCAAAAGGTGCTACTTTGGTAGACGGTTGCACGGATTTTGGCGATTTTTTGGCGATTTTTCTTTGGCGAGTAATACAACTTATGGTAAACCCATTGCTGGATAAGTTATTTATGGTAACCGATACTTGTTGTCATTTTATTTAAAAATAGTGCGTTTTATTGTGCATAAATTCCGTATTTAAAATATTATTATGGCTTTTAAATATTAAAAATCAATTTAATTTTGCATTTTTATTTGAAATAAAAATTTTATTGTTATCATATTTTATGAAATTTTATTTGTGGATGATGTAATCAATGACGTCACCTTACTTTAAAAGTAATTCGTTTTAATATGTATAAATTTTAATCTAATGTTTTAAACATTATTTATGGCTCTTAAATATTAAAATACAATTTAATTTTGCATTTTTTTAAAAATGATTTTATTATGTATGAATTTTTAAATAATTTTTAATTCTAGCCGTGATGTAATAAGCTCTCTGATTGGTTATAGAATATTTGTGCATTAACGAGCTGTAATCAGCTCCCTCATTGGTTCTGACAATTTGTGCATTTCCGCGCCGTTTTAAAAATTTAATTTATATTTTCGAATTCCTTCAAGATGTCTTCAAAGATGTTATCTAAATTATGATTTTGATTTTTTATTGTTGGGACTTATCAATAAACAACAGGTTAAACACTCAAAAAAATGTAAGTACAAATATTTTTCTTTTATTTTATAATTGTATACTTCAATTTTGTTAAAAAATTAATACACTATTTTCAGAAATTGCTGAGATAATTATTTGTCCATATGTTTTAATGTTAATTATATTCTATATAACGTATTTTAAAGTATTTGAATTTAATAATATTCTAATTCTTTTAAATGTTGGTATGATGGTTTTTAATTCGATATTCAAATTTCAGTAATATTTTAATCTAATTAAACGTTGGCCCAATGTTTTTATAGCGGTGTTTTTATTCTCTTCTTGCTATATGAAAGTAATAATAACCTTACTTTAGTATTTTATACTCATAGTAAATGTATTTATTTACACTTGCCTGCCATCTTAAAAAATATATTTTCAACAAAAATTAATCCATTACTTTTAACGATATTTATTTATTTATTTTTTAAGTTTCGAATACTTTACTATGCGTAAAAACAGCGTTTTTCAAGATGGCTGATGTTTGTAAAAATTGCGCCAACAATTCGGCCAACGTAAATCGCCAAAAATCCGTGCAACCGTCTACCAAAGTAGCACCATGCAAAATATATGTAAGGCATGTGAGAAAAATTAAAACGTTAAAATGCAATAAAAACAATACTAGAGCATAAATCGGGGGGGGGGAGAACTCGCGTTTTTTACTTTACTTGAGTTCTTCAAAAGTTTAAAACAGGGATATTTATTAATCAATTAAATGAGACTTTTAGGACTTTCAGGGCAAAAAAACACAAAATGTCAGCTCATCTGCTTCACATGATAATTCCTTAGAACGTCACTTTAAAGCTTTTTAAATCCGTTAAGTGACGAAGACTGCATTCTTTCGTTAAAATTTTCCTTTGGAAGTTTTTATTTAAATTGGTTAACTTATTTAAATTGGTTATTTAAATTAGTAGCAAATTTTCCTTTGGAAGTTTTTATTTAAATTGGTTAACTTATTTAAATTGGTTATTTAAATTAGTAATCAATTTAGTAAAAAATTCCAAAAATGCTATATTCGAATGAATTTCTTCCAATCTCTCCGATTAAAATTTTGCAATGATTTGCTTGTTCATTACACAAGATTGTGGCGAAAATCATAAAAATTAGTATCAGCATTAAAAAGAACTAAACAGAATCTTAAAAAAATTACGAAATTTCAAAAAACAAAATTGACTCGGATAGGTCGAAAACTGTTGAAAATTTAATTAATCGAAACACGCAGACATACCCAGCTGAATAACGTCTTGTCGTAATTTTTCCCTTTTCCCGTATTTAAAAAATAACAATAAAATATTTTATTACATTTCAAAAGGCATCACAGATTGATTTAACAACTAATGTTACAAGCAATCAACTGAAATTTGTTTGTTGGAAACTAGAGAATAATATGTTCTTGCGAAATGCAATAAAATTTACCAAAAATGGGAAAAGCTAAAAGGGAAAAAAAAAAAAAAAAAAAGCTTCAATTAAACTACATGTTCATGAAAAGATGAATTCATGAGGGGGGAAAATATCAGATTAAATTTTAAAAATCAAATGAAATTATGTTTTAATCACCTACAAATTCAATATTAGATCTAAATCACCCTGATTTTCTTGATATTCTTACATGTTATTTTTGTAAGCATTTGGCTTTTTAAAATAAGATCAACAAACCAAAGTATAGAATTAGGTTTCGTATACATTTGAAAGCTCTCATAAAATAAAGAATAATTAATCCGTATCGGACTGTAAGCAATAATTGTTAAATTTAAATATTTAATTGCACGTTTGTGCTCAAAAGAAAAAAAATTGTATTACCTGTTATTGGAGCTTCAGTTACTTTTCCGTTACCAGCAGTTAGCAGAACCAACAATATTCCTAATAGAAGTTGAGCCATCTTTCGGGAATTACTTCTTTTAAAGTTATGAGCTTAGACGAAACAACAGAATTTTTGTAACACTGGAAAAAAACGTAACCAGTTGTTATCTCACGATTGAAATGACATTTCATTCATCTCATTTTTTTTTTAATGAAATGGAGCAAGAACATTCTTGTTTATCATCAGAATGTACCATGTTTTCGAAAAGAACATTTCAGCGCACCAAAGGGGAAGCAAAACATCAATATCTGTTACCAGCTGCTGAACGAAAGAATTACGTGTCAATCAGAGTATGTCCTTTGAACTAAATCTTGCAGCATGCCACTAATAATAATAATAATAATATAATCTGAAAGGTTTCAGATTTTAAATTAGTCCAAAGGGGCGTTTTCTTAACATTTCGTCTGTTACCTTTATTTATTAAATATCAAGTTCTTTGCATTAAACCATAAAATTCAGTTCAAGAGCAATATCGCAAAATAGTTTTAAATTCAGCACATCCTTAAGAATTTCCAATACAGAGTCTCGCGCGCTGGAAATAAAAATGCTTTTTCTGTAGAACGTTGTCATTGCTCGCTTTGAAATCGTTGAGTTTGTTAATAAAAAATTCGTTCAAGTTTTACAAAATATGAAATCGATAATAAAATAAATTCCAAATTTCAAATTTGGGCTTCCACATGCCGTTGTTCGCAGTAGGGTTGTGTCATTCGAAATTCGATAACTCTATGTACCGTTGTTTTATCACAATGCGAAAAATACACATACATTTATGCAGTTTTTCATTACTTAAATTTTTGAAATGTAATGCAGGATTGCTGAAGGGAATTGTTTTGAAAACAACAACAAAAACGGAAACAGTTTTCGGAAACAGTTTTTTTTTTCGGAAACAGTTTGAAAAGTGAAACGACATTTATAGTGAACCAACGCAAAATTGCAAAACGAAAACAATAGTCCTTCAGAGGAAGAAGAAGAAGGGGAAAAAAAAAAAAAAAAAAAAAATCTGAAAGGTTTCAGATTTTAAATTACGTCCAAAGGGGCGTTTTTTTAACGTTTTGTGTGTTACCTTTATTTATTAAATATCATGTTCTTCGCACTTAAACCATACATTTCAGTTCAATAGCAATGTCCCAAAATAATTTTAAAATGAGCCTATCTTTAGAATTTCCGATACACAATTCCGCGCTCTGGAGATAAAAACGTTTTTTTCCCCTCCACCGTAGAATGTTGCCATTGCTCGATTTCAAATCGTTGAGTTTGTTACTCAAAAATTCGCTGAAGTTTAAGAAAATATGAAATCTAGAATAAAACATATTCCAAATTTCAAATTTGGACTTCCACATGCCCATATTCGCAGTAAGATTACGTCATTCAAAATTTGATGGCTCTATCTACCGTTGATTTATCACAATGCGAGAAATATATATACATTTATGCAGATTTTTCATTATTTAATTTCTTCAATTATAATGCAGGACTCTTAACGTTTGGTGGCAACTGTTTGAAATGTGAAACGGACATTTATAGTGATTCAACGCAAAATCGCAAAACGAAAACAATAGTCCTCCAGGGACAAAGTCCCTTTGGACTAATAAAGCCCCTTTGGACTATTAGCGTTTCTGAAACTTTAGTTCGCGGACTGTTTGGACTAATAATAATAATGATAATAATATTGTACAATTATTTTTCAATTGAAGAAGAAAGAAAAAAAAGAACTAAGTTTGTGTAAACAGTAAAATAAATCATTAAACATTTCATAAAAATATTTCGCACAGGGGAAAAAAAAAGGCTTTATTAAAAATATTAATATCCGTTTTTTCTGCCTGTGCGAAATATTTTTCATGCAACGTTTAATCATTTATTTCTGGTTTACATAACCTTAGTTTTTAAATACAGAAATAAATAGTATAAAAAATTGTGTATGTATTGCTATTTCAAAATAGCTGTTTAGCCATTACTACTCAGAATGAGCTGCAAAAATTTAGTAATTGCAGTAAATAGCTGTAATTTCTTTATTTATTTAAATTTAATTTTAAAATTATAGGTATGATTACTATAAACTTGGATGTAAAGGCCTTTCGCTTTGACCAAAAATTAGGTGTGCCGTTTTTGTACAATATATATATTATAAGGTTATTCTCCCGCTTTTCTAGCATGTCTTCGTGGTGTTGTGGTTCTACATGCTGAGCCGGTATTCCAGAGGTCAGTGGTTCGATTCCCGGCGAAGGCGTTTGCTATTTTTCATCTCTCCGGCTTCCGAAAAATACTTAATTTCTCTACAATACACTCACACACCTATCAGAGAAGCGTTTCTGAAACTTTAGTTCGCGGACCATAAGTGCTTTCTGTTCTGGTCCTCCTAGCTTGTTGTTGTGGTCCTTGTAGATTTGTAAAAATATCTTCTTATTTGTAAACGAAACATGTAAAATCCTCAGGATTTTACATGATTTTTGGCTGATGACATGTGGCTAAGTACATAGGCATATCTTTCAGATACATTTTCAATACTAAATAAACTAAATCTCTGTCTATAGGTTACAGCCGAAAACATCGCGGCAAAAACATCGCAGACGAAAACGTCGCGGAGAAAACAACGCAAGGCGAAAACGTCGTGCTACAAAAACATCGTGGGAGAAAAAACATCGCAAAGAGAAAAGCAGTTCTAAAACATCGTGGTACAAACATCGTCGTCGAAATTAAAGCGGTTCAAAAACTTCGCAGTTTAAACATCGTCGTTGAAAATATCGTGGTAAAAAATAAAGTATCTACAAATCACGCATGACGATAACATCGCCGACATGCTTTTTTCAGACATGCTTTAATAACTGTAAATGGATATCCCCCATAATGACTTGTGAGCGCAAGATGGAAAGAAGGATAACTTTTACTTTCATATTCTTTATTAATTAATAAATTTTTGCTGAGAAAAAAAAGGAAACTTAAGCAATAGAAAGTAATGCAACTTATAGCACTTAATAGAATTTTAAACCGGCATAGTTAACTAACAAGGCCATTAATAAATCATTTTATGAAGTTTTTACGGTAATTTTCATTAAAAGTATAATCTATAAACCGCATTTAATTTTCTATGCTTAAGTTTCCTTCTTACTTTTTCAGCAAAAAATTATTAGTTAATAAAAATGTGAAAGTAAAATTTTCCTTCTTTATACCTTGCACTCACAAATCATTATGGGAATATCCATTTACAATTATTAAAACCTGAAAAAAAAAGCATGTCTGCGATGTTATCGTCATGCGATGATTTGTAGATACTTTATTTTTTACCACGCTATTTTCGACGACGATGTTTTGTACCACGATGTTTTAGAACTGCCATGTTTTCTCTTTACGATGTTTTCTCCCAAGATGTTTTGTAGCACGACGTTTTCGCCTTGCGTTGTTTTCTCCGCGATGTTTTCGTCCGCGATGTTATCGGCGGACACCCTGTCTATAGAGTAATTTTTTGAAAGTCTATAGGGTAATTCTTTGAAAGCCTATAGGGTCTAATAGGATTGTCTATAGGGTAATTTTTAGTCCCCATGAGAAATTAAACTGATTTGAGAGGAAACTTGATTTGTGAATTAGTTTTGTAAAACAAAGAATTTTTGTAGGCAAAATTATGTCGTTACTGGGAAAAAATTGTGCAATGATAAAGAATTATGTTCGCATCTTAAAAATCTGAGGTCACAGTTTGAAATATATTTTCCAAGTGGTAAATATTGTAGAATCATTAGGTTATTTCGAAGCAGGCGAGATGAAAAATGAGCGACGCCCTCGCCGAGAATCGAACCACGGACTTCTTAAATATGCGCCAAGGGTGCTAAACACTACACCACGGAGGCATGCTAAGAAGGCGAGAGAAATACCTTATATACTCCCCCTTTTAAAGAGCAACTGGTGATGAGGGGGACCCAATCCCCAAATCCTGGTGGTGGAGAATCATCATTCACCACCTGTTTTTAGTTCGACCGCCACTGTACAGACATTAGATTTTTTTTTTTTTTTTTTTTTTTTTTTTTTTTTTTTTTTTTTAAGTAGGAGAGATGAAAAATGAGCAAAGCCCTCGGCAGGAATCGAACCACGAACCTCTCGAATAATCGCTGAGCCTGCTAACCACTAAACCACGAAGGCATACTAAGAAGGCGGGAGAAATGCTTAAAAATAAAACGAACTGTCATGGACTCTTGATCCTTTCCATTGAGATTTTGAAAGCAGCAAATTGTCACAATGAAAGAAAAGAATTAATTGAACTTTCTAATGACATCTGACTTAAAATGAAATTCGAAGCAGGAGACGAGTTTAATTTCTGGACCTCATTACTTGTAAAAAAGGAATATACTGAATATGTTGGTCTAAACATTATAATTTAGTTTGCTTCTACGTATCTGTGTAAAAAATAATTTTCATCACTAACTCAAATAAAAACAGAGGACAGAAATTGACTTAATATATGTGCCGATTTCAGACTTAGACTTGCCAGCCATACATCCAGACCAAGAACAACTGTGCAAGAATCGGCAGGCTCATCCATGTCATTAATGTCAGTGCTAATATTTGTTTAGTTTTTAGTTAATAAGATAAAAATTATCCAAACTCTAATAGATTTAAATCGTTAACACTAAGAAAGTCCTCCACGAAGGCATCCTTTCCCTTAGGCAGATAGCCCTAGTGTGCTTTGCCATAATTAAAAAAAACCAAACATTAAAAACGAATGTAACTTTCTTTCCATTAATTTGATTTATTAATACCAATATAAAATGAAATGAATTTTAACTAATTTCATTTTTTAAAATATGACTTTATTGGTATGAGTACGAGATGTGACACTAAAAAACGAGACTAAGTATGTAGATTGAAAACAAAGTGAAGTCGGCAACAACTATTTTGGTGACGTCATCCCACTCACCTCTTTTATCCATGCGGCCAGTTTCCACTTAACCGACCATGCCAGTGGAGAGTAATGCGTCATTGAATGAACAAGTGCAACTGCGTTCTGCCGGAAAAATGTCTAATGTAAAAAACGAATCAATATGTTTCTTCTGAAGCTTAAGAAGTCAGCAACGGAGGAAACATTTTAAATGTTAAGCGAGGCTTATAGAGATGAAATT